TATTGTAATTTAAAAATATTTAATGGTATTTAAGACTTTTGACGTAACCAACAGAATGAAGTAAAAGTTCATGGTTTTTAATTTTAAAGCTAGAGAAAGGTATAGATCGGGACTCTCCGTTTGTATAGAATTGTCGGCACCTATCTATATTAATTCCATATTAATGAATATAATTTTACAATATTAATTAATATTTAATAATACTATAATCAATAAAAAAAATACTTCCATACTCAATGGCCATAGTTGCCGAGTTTAAAAAAAACTCTATTTTTCTAAATACCTATTTTGATTCATAAAAATCGAATTTAGGGCGAGTAGTCTATGAGTTATAAGTATTTAAAGTTTTGATGGGTTTAGTGGAGTGGTACGAGGTTACTCCGCAAATTGTTTGTCCACCACTCCGCTTGCCAAACTTTAAATACTTATAATAAATAAACTGCTCGTCCTAAATTCTATTTTTATGTATCAAAATACGTAGAAAAATATATTTTGCTTTGGGATATGAAATAAAAACTCTATATTGTCATTTAAAAAAGTAAAAACTTAAAAAAACTATAATGATATAAAATATTTAAAAATATAATTTTTTAATAAAAACGTTGTTTTTTTAAGAATTTGAACATGTGTAAAAAAATATTTTCAAATATATTAATACTTTTTGAAGTGACGGGTGATTCATGATACAGTACAGTTTGATGAAAAGAGAAAATGAAAGGTCCAATGCAAAAACCAGATTACTCTATTTTCATGAACTTTTAGGATAAGCAAAACAAATTATTTTTCTCATTCACCACTATTGGCTGGAAATAATTCATTTAGAGATACATTTGGAAATAGCTAAAAACCTAACCTATTTTTTCTTATTTTTCTACCAAAGTATAGATATTTCTTCCATGAAAAACTCATTTTTGATAAAAGTGGAGTAACCTGGTTGTTGCATTGGATTCATAGAATAATATAGAGAGGCTGTTATGAATGAACATTGATGTGCAAGTATAGTGTATAATGTACAGGTTAACCACTTACATAAAACAAAATGTGTGGCTTCGCGGGGAGCGTTGGCTGCTACAAGTCGAGCAATGCAACTGAGAGTAAGTACACAATAGTAACCCCCGCTGCTACTAGTTCCCGGATGGGTGACCACATCACATTGACCTATAAACTAATGGACAGCGCTTAGAGAGAGAAGTCAGGGGTACGATATAGATAGAAAAGAAAGAAAGTAGTAAAATATACATTTGTATACAGTTCCTTATGAGGGATTTATGCGGGCTCCTCCATTATTTTTTGTTCTTTCTCTCTCAGTTTTACGGTTATAATATCATGATCACCTATCATTGATGGCAGGGCGGTGTGGAATGCACTGTCCCATTAGTTGATAGGTTTATGGGTGACCACAACCATACAATATATTGTACTATACGTTTTACAATATTTTTTTATATGAAGTGGTAAATCTACACTTTATATACTAACTAAGCTTCAATTAATTTTATAAGCGAGATATGCAACGGCCCCTCTATATTACTCCATGATTGGACCCTTAAAATTCAGTTTAACTACCAATGAGCAGTGTTGTGCACAGATAAGTTTAAAATGATCTAGATAGATAAGAAAACAAAAAATGCATTGTAAATTTATCTGGATAAAAGATAAGATAACCTCCTTTTTATCTAGAAAAAAAACAGTTAACTATGGAGTTTTTAGGTTTTTTTCTTAGATCATAATATACTATATGGATGGAGCCACAGCGTATTAAATAAATACAAAACAAGTTGCCCATAACAGTGACGAGTCTCCGAATCATGTGGTCGATATGCACATGCGCGACTTGACTTCTCGCATATTTATCCAAATTTACCTATTGTGCCTATGGATAATTATGCGAGGAGTTGCATTGCGCTTGCGCACATCGACCACTTAATTCGGCGACTCGTCGCTGATATGGGCAAATTGTTTTGTATTTATTTAATACGCTGTGGCTCCATCCATAGTATATGATCTAAGGTTTTTTTAAGACATAATAAATTAAGTTATAATGTATACACATATTTATAATAGTTTAGTTCAAATACCCTTATTGTGCTCTTAGTATAAATTGTGTAATTCTTATAAAAATACAAAATAAAAAAAAATATAATTTATTATTTTATATAAAAATACAATATAGATTAAGTTAATACATTTGGATAAAAAAAAAAGGAATGTTTAATGCATATTAATTTATTTGACATTTTAAATTATCTATAGACACTTAATTTTATCGTTTAATGAAACAATAACTTTTTTTTTTACAAAAAATGATTTATTGCAAATAAACATAATAATCAATGATAATTAAATCTAAAAAGAAATTCACAATTTATTTTGTTTAGTTTTAAACATACTATATTATATTCAAAATTATTACGCAGTAAGATAGATAATGCACAACACTGCCAATATTTATTGTAAGTAAATGCTGTTTTCAATTATGACCTGTGTAGATTAGAAATAAAATGGATCTATAAATGGCAATTATTTTTTATAATATTAGTTATGATCACACTTTGTTAGTAATTAGTCATTACACACTATTTGTATAAATATGGCATAAAAATACTGATCATCAGCATCAAAGAGCTTCCGCACCGCAATGAATCAAATTATTTACTTATAATAAATTAACTCATAAATACACAAAGGAGGAGGAGTCATGTCAGAGGGGCCTAACCAGTTTCAATATTGATCAATATCCATGTACCGGGTGCTCGTTTGTACCGAAATAACCAACGTTATCACGATTATACATGTATATTGTAAACGCATACCATTACCTAGGTACCTAATTTCTATTATTGTACCTATATATTAGTATACTTTATATACGAAAATATCGATTTAAGAGGACGCTACATAGATATTTGTTGCATAGGCGCAATTGGGGGGAAGGGTGCTTGGGGGTGCTTAGCACCCCCAAAATTCATATTAGCACCCCTAATTTTTTGATAGCATCATCGAAATTTTATTGACTATAATACTAAGACCTTATCATTTTCATAATAATAATACATAGGTAGGTACCTATCAGAATAATAATATATTTTGAAGTTTATTATGTTATAGGTAATTATTTACATTAAGATTAATGCGAAAGTATATACAATGAAGATTTAAGTTGTATGAATGGAGGGGGGTGTGGGTGGGCAAAGTAGATCACTTTGATATTCACAAACTGATCACTTAAGTAGACATAAATCTAGCACCCCCATACGTTTAAGCCAAATTGCGCCTATGATTTGTTGTCTCCGTCTTACAAGTCCGTTTGTTTAAAAATTAGAATGAAACGACCTATTATTAAACTTTATGGTATAAGAACCGGTAAAGCACGATTGAGCATAGACCTTTTTAGCAACACGATTGAGCATAGTTTATTTTATGCGATGTTGCCACATTCACGTTGCCAACATTTTGTAATTTATTATTTTCTCGTATTATTACACCAATTATTATGATATCTGACGCGAGCCGTGAGCTTTATCTACTTTATCAATTTTATCGACAATGTTATCGATTAATAAATTAGTTCCGGAGCAAAACGACGTTTTAAACATTTAGCATCGGGGGAAAATATAAGATAATTAAGATACAAATCCAAAATTATTATAGAAATAATATCAGTGTTCGATTACCTGTATAGTGTATAGTGCGTGTATACTTAGTGCGTTTTTCTATTTTATTAAAATATGGATATAACAATTATTTTATCGGAAAGAGGCAAAGAATTGGCCCTAGTTAATTTATACAAGTATAAATTAATTGGAGAGCGAAAAAAAGACAATCTTTTGAGATGGAGGTGTACTAATAATAAATGTTCGGCAATAATGTTCTCGGGTTTAGATAAACGTAAAGTGATTGAAACTGCTGGACAACATAATCACGATAAAAATTCTATTGAGAAAATAGAAACACAAGTTTTAAGAGAAAATTGCAAAAGAAAAGCTGAAGAATCAATTTCCACACGGCCACTTAAAATTATTCGCACCGAACTTTTAAATTCTTCTTCAACATCAAATTTAAACAATCAAAATGTTTTGATTTTATTATTTTCATAAGTCATAACTATTATTATTATTTTATTATTAACAAAAAGATCTATATACTGTGACAACTTTTTATAAATATTTTGATTTTATTATTTTCATAAGTCATAACTATTATTATTATTTTATTATCAACAAAAAGATCTATAAATTATACTGTGACAACTATTTACATATTAAATATGAAAACATGATATTTTTTTGTCATGTTATATTTTGAAATATTATAATTATTTAAATAAATGTTTTTATACGATACAGTTCAAAATTGAAAATGGCAACGTTGCAGAGTTTTTTATGCTCAATCGTGTTGGTTTTCTTTTGTATTTCAATTTCCTTTGATACGCCGACAATTTATGCTCAATCGTGTCGCAAAAAAGGTGTTTTATGCTCAATCGTGTCGCAGCCATAAGAACATTATCTGTGTTTGTATGTCAGTTTCTTACGATAGCTCAGTTTTTAAGCGAGCACTATTAATTTATTTTATATTCTGCAGCATATAGTTACCAATACCGCATATATTATAAGCTCGGATTTGACATTGGGATGATGGTGGAGCGATACGGGACTTTTGGGACACGCTGTACGACGGAAGTTAAATACAGTAAAGTTGGCCTCGATCGTTGGACCGCCCATTACACGACCCTACCACATCTAAACCCGACCAATTACACGACGCCACGATCGCGTACCCAGCAGCCGTTTGGATATAAAAACGATATGTACACCGGTAGAGATTTTAGTGTCATTCAATCAGCATAGAGACCAATTTTAATACACTCTGTACCTACTTACCGCGGCAGCAATATACATATATATATATATACATTCGCCGATTGAACTTCGAGTCACTACCACCGAGGAGGAGGCTCTGCGAAAATTTGAAAAAAAAACGACTACTACGACGACGACAACATGTTTCTGTCGTACGCCGTCGTGCCCGTGTTGGTTTTCACGGTGCTTTTGAACTTCTTCTACCTGTACGCTCCCATCGACTCTCTGATGTGCGGCCAGAACTTCACGTGTTGCGAGGAGTGCTTGAACTCGACGTGCCACACCCAACTGAACAGGACTTGCACGATCAACCCGGACAACAGCACGTTCGCGTGCTTCACTTGTGACCCCGACGATAGCGGAGCCGCTCAGTACTACTCCGAGGAGGATTGCAAGGTGGACTGCACGGAACCGACCAAGAAGTGCGTTTGTGACGGCGCCTGTTGGTCGTGCATGGTCACGGAGGGCGTCGATCTCACCAAGTTTGTGTGTACCATGCCCACCCAGGCGGTGGACGAGACGTGCGCGATAGTCCCGTACGGGGCAAACTGCAGCGCGCCGTCCACCACGGCACCATAGTTATATTATTATTATCATCATTGATATTAGACAATATTATGATTTTTGTTCTTAAAAAAAATAATTCATTGTTATTGTATCATTACCATAAAGTATATATCGTGATATCCGCATCCGACCACCCCCTCGATGAATTTCGCGTAATATTATTCTCAAGGTTTTTAGTACTCTCTATGTGCAAAAAAAAAAAACAATGAAAATACAAATAAATCTTCAATCTATGACCTATGTCATTGTTATTCGATATTATTCTTTACCTTGTTATCTATTGAATCATTATATTATTATTATATTATGTAATCAGTGCACCATATTCTTTGTATTATTTCATCAATATTAAACTATTACTCCTTCACGTACTATATATACTTTGTGATTTATTTATTTGTTTTTTAGAAGCTCGGAACCCCCTATTGTATTTGAATTTTGAACTTTGTAAATCTGAGTCTGGTCTATATAAGAGTCAATTATTAAAATAATATTATTTGCAGAGTGATTCACCCACTCCCTCTCTTCTTCAATAATGCAGTCGTTCAAAATCTGATTTTTGTAATATTGTTAAATAACATACTTATTTTAGACCACATTTTCCAATTCTTAAGATTTATTGCACCTATTACTCAATGTTATAAACTGTAAATTATTTATTGAACATATTAAAACTCTAACGAGTAGTTTTTTTGTTAGTTATTTAGCTTTTTGAAGGCACCAAGAATAATAAGGACAATATGGTGTATGGGTTTGAAATATATGAGGCTATAGTGATTTAAAGATTTTAGTATAAGTTATTATAATTTGTAAAAATATTCATAGTATAATAAATACTAGATCTAATATTATAACCTATCTTATATTTTTGTAAACATTTTTAAGGACTTTTATTTTTATACTATTAACATTTCAATGAAAAGCTATTATTTCAAATTTTCAATTAGGTCTATCACAAAAATTCAAAATTTAAATGAATTCATTATTAAATGAAAAAAACGGGAGTATGTATGCTTGGTGAATTACTCTACATACGGATATAAGATAATATTACTACATAATTATTCTACCTTGATAGTCCTTTAATACCTACTTTATAAAACTTTGTGAATGTTGAGGTATACCTAGTGCTTATTAGTAAAACCTCTTTATATCTTGTAATTATTGTTGAGCTATAATAACATTTTGGATAAAAGCTAAAATATATTGTATAATCAATTGGTTACCTCCACTATCACGTGATTCATGTTATATTTGGAAATTGTGTTATCCCAATGACTTATTGTGCATGTTTATGTGCACTGTTTTTTTTTTTTGGTTGAACGATTAATATATAATTACTTTTACAAGTCAACAATGATAATAACGACTTAGTATACTTGGGATTTAAGGATCTAACTTTTACAAGTGCCATGCTTATATAGTTAATTTATCATTATATAAGTCATTACTCATTAGGTACCAATATCAAATGTTTTAATGATGCTAACATTGCTAACAATATAATATGTTAGTTTTTTTTTTAAATGTTGGAAGCGAAGTTAACTTAGAAATTAGACGATAGACTATAGATAATTATAAATTGACCCTCTGTCTCCGGTTTTCCATAGTATATAATATCGTGGAGTTATGAACGGCTTGTTCGGGTGGGGTACATGTCTTCGAATGTCATGTGTTCGAAGGTCATGTTTTCGAATGACGAGTGTTAGAAAAGTTATTTGTTCGAATAGTAATGTAATCGAAAAATTATTTGTTCGAAAAATATATGTTCGAAAAGTTGTATATACGAAATATTATTATTTTATTTTAGATTCTGAGTGAAACGATGAATGTATTGATTTTACAATGATGTGTGTTTTTTTTTTATTTTTGTGTCTGTCATCACGTTTTAGAACAGTAAAAGTGCTTGGATTTTCTTCAACAGTAGCTTTTCTGATAGGAAAGTGAATCTAGTTGGTACTTTGGGGGGTCAAAAGTAAAAATTTTCCAGTAGTTTTAACAAGCGCCGGGAAAAACAACATAAAAATTAAGGAAAAACAGGAATTTTAACGCAAAATCTGTTTTCCAAAAAATCGATTTTGGTTTTTTGGTGTAACTCTAAAAGAAATGAACGTATATACATGACATTTTCACTGGTTGTTTATATTTGCATTTTATATACACGATAACATTTTCAAAATATTTTGATTTAATTTGAACTGTTTAGGGACATTTTCATTTTCCATTTTTTTTTAGTTTTTTTTCTAAAAATATCAATAAAGTTTTATCTGTGAAACCAAAGAGTGTAAAAATTTAATACAAGGCTCCTGATATATTGTTACAATATCAGTTGAAAAATATTAAAAATACATAGGCACATTTTATTTTTATAAACATTCAAAGATCGAATTTTGATAAAATTTATCAAAATCTCGAAAATGATCATTCATTGTAATTAATAAATTATAAAATGTTCAGTTTTTATAGCTAAGGATTGCAAATTTAAAACAAAGGTTCTCATAAATAGTTCATACTGTAACCAAAAAATCTAAAAAATATATGAACACAGTTATTTTTTACAGACATTTTAAATTCAAATTTGGACGAAATTAAATATTAAAAAACCTAGAATAACTATTTTAGTTATTTTGTTGTGATTGAATAATGTTATTCATGAGTACTTGAAACTTCTAAAGTGTACTATTATACATATATCTATGATAGTATCACGGTTTTTGTTGATGTACAACGCGTTATAACTTATAAGTACCTAATGGATAATGTGATATGATTAATTTGGAATTTATTATAGGTACCTATTATAGTCTATAGGTCGAATTTTGGTTTAGTACCATAGATATGTATATGATAATACGTCTTATACTTAGACTGACATACCGTCTCCGCTCAGAATCGTTTTTCTTAAGGCGGGATCCCACGACTCGTGTATTTGACGAATATCCACGAATACTCGAATAATCGGCAAGTTACCGACAATCGGCGGGAAGGTGGCGAATAACGAATAACGTATACCGAATACCGAATATTCGTACAAGTACTCCATTCCCACTACTCGGCGAATATCCACAAATACCAAATATTCGTCAAATACACGAGTCGTGGGATCCCGCCTTTATACAATGATATTATATCGTTGAATTCAAATTTAATATCATCCGTTTTACAGTGGCCCACTTGTAACCTACTGTACAGCAGAGCGACACCCACTTGCCCACCTTTTTTTCCTATAAATGTTTAATTAAATTACATTTTTATGACGGTTTGAAGTTCAACTTTCTGCAACATTGACTATTCACTAGATTTCTCATGTAGCGATTTTATTTTCTTGCAATTCAAAAAAATAAATAACCATAGATAGGTACTTAATATTTACACCATATTATTATTATATTAATTATTATTCGATATTTTTCTATACTCGATAAAATTGTCAAAATATTTTGATTCGCTTAGATGAGTTGCATACGGACATTTTCAATTTTCAATTTTTTTAGTTTTTTTTTCTATAAATGTCAATAAAGTTTTATTAGTTTGGACAAAATGCTTGAAAATGTAATACGACGCTCTTCATATATAGTTACAATATCAGCTAAAAAATATTAAAAATACATGGCAAGATTTTTTTTTATTTGCTTTTAAAATTCAAATTTTATTTAATTTATCAATTTGAAAATTTACAAATTATTTTGTTGTTAAAAATGTATAAAACGTTAAACTTTTATAGCTAAGGATTGAAAATTTAAAACAAGGTTGCACGTACCTAAATAGTAAATTATGTAACCAATGAATCCAAAAAATATACCTATTTAAAATATTTAAAATATATCTTTTTTATTTTATATAGTTATTTTATGTTAAAATTTCGATGAAATCACATTAACTAACCAATAATAATGATTTTAGTTATCTTTTTGTAATTTTTTAGTATTTATTCAACTTACCAGCTAGTAGCTACCGTATTAATAATAAGTAATAACTAATAAGTAATAACAATATAAATATAATATAAAATATCCTATAGACTGACAAACCGTCTTCGTTCAGAATCGTTTTTCGTATACAATGATATTATATCATTGAATTCAAATTTAATACCATCATCCATTACAGTGACCCACTTGTAACCTACTGTACCCATAGGCGCAACTAGGGTCCAAAATCTGAGGGGGCTAAAAATATTTACAAGTGTCATGTGTAATCAAAAAATGTTCTACCCCTGAGGATATCCCCATGAGGATATCATTATAATAAATTACATAAGTACAAACCCATAACACATAACATATTAATAGTATCATTACCTATTTTATATTAAAGTAATACGCCTATCCTTTTGTGAAAATTTATCAACAATGAGCTGAGTGTCGATTAAATTAGCAATGTCTCTTTCTATACATAAAATAGATAAATAACTAAATCTTTCTTGTCCCATACATCATAGGCGCAACTAGGGGGGTGCTTGGGGGTGATTCAGCAACCCCAGTTCAAAAACATCAAAAATTGAAAAATCATATGAAAAAAATAGTTTTTTTTAGCTTTAGGTACTTAATATTTTTTTTTTTATTTCTTCGTTTTTAGCAGAAACACAAATTATTGTTTGTAATGATTATAGGTATATCAAATATTAGAATTTAGAATTCTTCCAATTTTTTTTTAAATTTTCAGTTAAAAATGTATATAAGTTTTTCCTTTCATAGCTAACATTATAAATGTTGATAAAAGACTCCTCACAATTGGTACTATCTTAAACAAAAAAAAAGGTGGGCAAGTGGGTGTCGCTCTGCTGTACAGTAGGTTACAAGTGGGTCACTGTATAATGGATGGTATTAAATTTGAATTCAATGATATAATATCATTGTATAAGAAAAACGATTCTGAGCGGTGATGGTATGTCAGTCTATGTATAAGGCATATTATATACATATCTATGGTATTAAACAAAAAATTGACCTATAATAGGTACCTATAATAAATTCCAAATTAATCATATCACAATATCCATTAGATACTTA